TGAAGAGGATAAAAGTAAAAGAAGTAAAAAGTTATAAAAGGCACCAGTGATCTTGGTCTCCTCACATTCATTATAGAGTAAAATATATCTGTATTGTATAAAACATCGAAGTATTTGTAAATAAAAATAACTAATTAAAATATCCATATATATTTACCAATTAAAATAAAATAATAATCCATTAAACAAGAATAATTATTATATTTTAGGGTATTTATGAAAGACCTTGATGTAAATAAACAAACCCGGAGACACAGGAGACCCCAGGAGACCACAGGAGACCACAGGAGACCACTAGTGTTAACTCTCTATAGTCTCCTTAAAGTTATAGAGTTAAAATTATACCAATGAAGTTAAATTATAGTTATCTAATTTATGAAAGACAATGACACAGTTTAAGAGTAAGTTAAGTAACACCTATGAGTGACCTATGACCTAAGTTCTTCCCTTTTATATGTTACTAATTATTAACATGATATAGGAGATGATTATTGCCTTATTTTGTGATATATTAGAGGGTTAATGATAGATATATGGGAACTAGATGGAATAATTAGGAATGGGAACGATGGTTAGGTCTAATAGTTTACAAGGATGACCTGTCTGAAGGAGTAACTTTAGGGGGTAATTTAATTGATAAAATTTATTTGTTACTATTTAAATATCCTATAAATGTTGGAGGAATTGTAATTTTCTTATGTTTATCTCTTGTTTTTTGTTTAATAGTAACTTCAGATTTTGTTTTCCAATTTTATAAACTCCCTTCAGGTGCTGACCGTCTCCATCATTATCCCAAAATTAATCTCAGCAGTCGAAGGATATTATAGAATTGCAAAACAATTTATTGAGACGTTATTAGCATGATAATAAATAAAAAAGTGAAAACAATAATGCACAGAATCTAACAGATCCTGACCGACCCAAACTAACCTTATCTAAATTCCTACCCTCGGACCTGCGGCATATTAAACCGAATCTTTATACTGTATCTAGTTACAGATATACAGTTCTTAATATGTTTATGGGTTTACGGCTGAATAGTCTGGCTGTCTATGTAACCATTCCACCTGCATAGACTACCAGGTAACAGCTTAATAGCCACAGCATAACAAAATAATACCCAACTTAACCTAACTAACCTCATCTCACCTCACCTAACCTTCCTGACCTAACAACTCCCTTATACTGTACAGTGGAGTCTCTGAGGTCAGTCGATCATTAATTTTCAACTCCTCTAAATTTTTATACAAACAATTTTATTCAGTTCTTGTCTTGTGCAGGTATTGTGTGTGATCTGTGTGGAGATGACCACCCAGCCTGCAACTGTCCCATGTTGGCTCAGCTCGACCTGCCTGTGAGTGACATTTTCTTGCTAATAATATTCTGTAGTTCTTGGACTCCACCTCACTATACTGTACTGTAATACACAAGTTAAATAATGTTATAAGCCATTAATGTTAAAGACAGCTCCTAAGGTCCTTTTTTTTGGCCAAGGTTATCCAGGTGACACGTAACATGCAACTCCACAGCTGTACAAGTAGAACCTAATTTACAAAAGGGTTCCACTGTAAACTGAGATACCCTCCTACAAAAAAAAAATCCCAGAAAAGTTTTAAATGCTACAAAAGTTATAAAAGAATTGGTGTATACAATGACAAGAAGCCAATACTGTACTAAACATAATAAGTAAAATATATGCAATACGGTACAGTACTATATAGGTACTGTAATAACTTCATACTCACGAGAAACACGACAAGATTATAAGCAAAGTAGACAATATGAGATGTTTGGTATCAGTAGATTATAACACAACGATTTCTTCACTTCAGGCAAAACAAGTCGAGGACGCTGAACCACAACTGGCCTATCGGTCCCTGCCGTCATGGGTGCAGGTCGAGGATGGGCCAAAGGGGTTACAGGTGGTTTGTGTTCATCAGAACGTGGCCAAGTTTACCAGACTGGGACCACTTATTGCTCCACATGTTCCTCATCTCCACCCAGATGCATCCTTCCCACTAAAGGTTTGTCACCATTACTAATAACTCTATTTATTGCATTTATAATATTGTTTGACGTACTTTCTTCAACTGCTTTACAAAAAATAAATAAAACTGAGAATTACTTTTTAACCCAAATAATACACTGGGGTTCCTAATGTGCCTCTGGATATTATAAATTTATGTGCATTTTTAAAGTGGATAAACTATGTGAGAAAAATATTTGGTACTGTATCCCCCCTTTTTATTTTTTTATTAATGCAACAATATTATTATTTTTTTTTAATGTGTGAATTGTATTTCAGATATGTCATGCAGGTGGGAGCCACACATATTTGGATCTATCAAGGAAGTGGCTGTGTAACTGGCTCAGTCTCATCCCCCCTGGCTCTTCCTCCTATAAGAACTTGCTGGCATGTCAAGTAAGGGCTCAACTTACTCGTCCTTCTAAATACATCGCTGTGTAGAGTTTGAAATAGCACACGATAGAGTAAACAGAGAACCACAGTAAATTTGACCCACTGCAGTTCTCATTCACATGCTATCTAGCGTTAGGTCACTGAAGTCTATGTTTTAATAGTTTACTTGGGTCAGTTAAAAATCATTCAAGAATATCATGCAAGATCAACAAATCACTGAAGACTGATTTATATATGTTATTTGTAATTGTGGATGAAACATTGAAGTTCCTCCTCATCTGAAGGGGAAAATATACAGTTCAATATATATTCCAGTTAGATGTGTTCAATGCATTGGATTCCAAGCTCAGTGCTCTAACATCCCTGCCAGTTAACTCCTTATTGTTATGTTTTCATACAATTTTGCTACTTTAACTGGGTTTAATTTTCTTTTAACGTTAAAGCTTTCATAAAACATCGCATTGGTTTGACACTGTAATGAGCTGTATTTCTTGGAGTACTGTACTTTATATATTTAATATCTACTGTAATTTATTTCAGGTAGAAGATTTGATATATTATATAGCAGCTGAAGAAATAGAAGCAGGGTCAGAACTACGGGTGTGGTACGCTCCATTTTATCAGCAGAAGGTGAAAGAAGAACTCAAGGCACTCGGCTATGGTCAGAGCTTGGGTGGTGCTGCAGTACTCACACGTCGAGTACCACTCAGGCCGCCACAATCTAAGGTCCCACTTGGGGGTCAACTTCACATTAGTACTCCTTCACTTTCAAGAATTGAGGTAGGAAGAGGCCAGGTCACCTTTACCCACAATGCCAAGGGCAGTGAACCTGACAGTCTTTTCCTTGAACAACCAGCAGTCACTGAAAGTCCTCTCGTGGGTAATAAATATCTCCCGGGTGAAGCTGGACTTGGAAGACAAATTCAAACACCAGTCACCTCTGCTGGCTACTTACGTGATGATTACATCCAGCATAAGAAAAGAGTCGATAGTTTGGGACAAGATGATTTTGGATACAGCGCCCAGACTAACCACACAAGTACATCACAAAGCATAGTGTTAGTCAGTAATAGAAACGCCTCAAGGGAACCGGAATGTATCGTAACTTTCACCATAACAGCCGCCTCAGAGAATTACGACCCTAACTCGTCTTCTGGTGAACACTATGACAACGGTAACCTTCAGCCCGAGGAATGTCTGATGGGCGACAGTTCACATGAAGATTCCTCTCCTGACGTAGATAGGAAAGACATCCAATTCCATCCAGTAACTCAGAAGAGAAAATCTTACAAAATCAGAGAACCCAAAACAGGTAATTGAACAAAATCATGTTGCTTTTGGAAGCAATCTGATAAATTGGTCATAAATGTAGTGTGTACAGCATATTAAAAAAAGAGATATATTTTAACTTTAAGAACTAAATAATACATTCCTTTGACAGAAGTATGTGTAGCAGATTCAGATGTGGTCAAACAGCTTCCTCCTCGAGCCTTAGGAGCCCGTGAGCCTCGTCCGTGGTCCTGCAAATACTGCGGAAACAACTTTACGAGTCTTCTTCCATTCGCCAATCATTTAAAAGTAAATTATTATTTTATATGAATAATTTTAGAACCCAGTTACCAGTCATTTGATAATATGCAGCTCTATGAATGAATTTATAATCAGTAATTAATCCTAGGAAAGCCTTCTTAGGATGTAAAGTGATATGAATAAGTGCCTAATCCAATCCAACCCACACCCCTACCCCCCTGGTAACCCATAACGTGTTCTGAACTTCTTACCACCCTGCAGCTTAATGGGAAAAGGCTTACAAAAAAACAAGAGACTTTCCCATTTATGCGATCAACCCTAGTTTACTTTTTGGCTATTATTTACCACAGGCTCACCTCCTGTGGCTAGTAGGACGGTGCCACGTGTGCCAAGAATGCGGCAGTTCGTTCTCCAGTTCCCTACAGCTTCACCGCCACCAACAAGCGACGCACCAGCAAGGGGGTTTCCAAGCAGCGTCTCAAGCAGTATCCGGTGGGTTGCCAGAAGTCTTGTGCCACGGGTTCCACTCATCATATACACTTATGGCCATCCCATCCAAGTTCATTCATTGAATAATACAAAAATATTCAGGAGAAAGGCATTGAACCTTTTGTTGACTCTTTTATGCTCATCTAAATAACATGAATAAATTTACAAGTATTTTGGTCGAGTTTTACATTAGTATTGATGTGTTTTTTGCAGTTATAAGTCTGAATATAACTCTGGTTCTGTTATTTGTCGCAGTGTGTCGAGGAGAGGGTGAGGTCTTGGTGAAGCACGAGTTATTTAGCGACGACGAGGCTGCTGTGGACGATCCGGGAGGGAAGGAGAGTAAAGAAGTGAGTCTTGTGTTTCCCCGAGACAAAGAAAAACATTCACAGCAAATAATGTATAAAAAGGTTTTTTTTATGTAGAATTAATGCACAGAATTACTTAAGTTTTACAAGTAAAATTAAGTCTGGCCACATTTAACTTGATAAGCTGGTGTAGTTGTTGTGTTTCTTTATTTTAAATGTTTCAGTTGTTAAGGTTATTTGCACAGTGGCCTAGAATGTAATTGCTTGACCCTTTTCATACTGAAGTAATAGACTAGTTTTAAATATTTTTGGTTAATAGTGGAAAGCAAGCAGATCGTGTGATGTTTTTATTTATTATATTTAAATATTTATAGAGAGTTCCATAGACCAATTGGGAATGACATAAAGAATTTGACTATTGATTGATTTTCCATCTATATTTTATACCGTTTCCTATTAACAAATAGATATTAATCCCTAGAATTTATATATACTGTACACAGGATGTGAGGAAGATACCTGCTCTCCCGACCAATCATGTAGAAGGTCCACACAGCTGCCAGATCTGTTCCAAGCACTTCGCCAAGGCTGAGTACCTGCTACGACACCTTCGGAAGCACACTGGTGACTTCACGTGTCAATATTGCTTGAAGGTCAGCATCCGAGATCAAATTATTACTACTGAATTATTTACATTGGTTTAGATATCATTTAGATGTCATGGAGGGAAGATTGTCATTATGGGATGTATGAAGAGAATCTGGAATGTTAGTATTCTATAGTATGTTCAGCCTGAAGTGAAAAGGTAAACATATTAAAAAATTAAAAGTAGGAAAGTAAAATTATAAAAACAAGGAAAATCTGTCTTGTCTACATTTTGTGATGGTAGGAATATTGTTAGTTTATATTAAAAGGCAACTATTTGATGACATCTCCTGCTAAACCATGCCACAAAAGTGTGAATCTTGTATAATTTCTCGGGTCAATAACAACAAAAACCCACAAGGAAAATATCTCTTATATAATGTTGCAAAGAATGTATCCTGACCTACTATAGAAATCTTTAATATTTTTTTGTTTTCTCAACAAGGCCACAGAACATAGAGCATCATGTAGCTGGGTAATAGTTAGGGTCAGATATTCTTTTAATGGTTACTTATAGCTGCTGTCAACATTTAAGCAGCTATGAATGATTTATCCTCTCATAATAAATAGCCTCTTCCTCTTAGATATATTTTGGGGGCTTATGTCTGTATGATTGTCTATGAACCTTTGCTCAAAAATAAGGGATTGAGCTTGAAGTCCAGTTGTATGATGTAGAGGTGCGGGGAGGGTCTACCTTCTCTCAAAATTACAGAAGATGGCATGGCAGGTTTATTTAGATTAATAACTCCATCTAATTTTATCTTGTAGGTATTTGCCCGAAAGGAAGGTTTACAGAAGCACACGTGTCCCAAGGGAGGGCACCAAGAGAGACTGAAATGTTCACTGTGTAGTCGATGTTTCCTCAACCCCAACCTCCTGGAGCAACATTACCTCAGACATAAGGGTATGTGAGATGCATTGTTCTCATGTTTTGGGGTAAATATTTTTAATGAAGCATGTCAACCAGTGACTTGTACAGTCTGGGTATATAACTAGTTGTATAGCATTATTTAATTTTATTAGTGTCACTTAATGTACTCAGTGTATTGTAGTTTCTTTTTACATTTATTATGATTTTCTGGTCTCAACTTGTCTGGTTCCTTAAACAGTGAATGTTCTTGAGTAATAATTATAAAATTATTATTAATCTCATTTGCAGGAAACAAAAAATGTATACGTTGTAATCGTACCTTCTCCAACTTGGCCTCACTGGAGCGCCATATGAAGATCTGCCCCTCTGTTGAGATCAGCTCTTTCTTTAAGGTAGTTGTGGACTCTTGTACGTATATTAAATCCATATTCAGCATAAACAAATTTATTAAAGATATTATAAGTTGCTTGAACTTAAAACGGCAAGATATCCGTTTTATTTCTCTGAGGAGGAATGTACCGCTGTGCACGGAGGACATTGTTGTGGCACAGCTGTCGCAGATCACAGGTCTACCTAACCTTTTTGATGATGTTGCAGTGCAGTATATGTGGTAAGGATATGGTCAGTGAGAGAATGTTGGAGCGACACATGGCCAGTCACAGCAGACAATACCAGTGTGAGCTGTGTGGTAAACCTTACAGCAACAGCACCAACCTGGCACAGCATGTACCACTCTGTCGGCAGGTTAGTTGTACATTATTACTCCCAACTTTTATCAGCAATGCTCCAACAGATGATGAAATACATTGGGCCACTATAGTAATGCTGTACAGTCACCCACAAAGGTCCTGTAGACACTGATGCATTATTCTATCCATAAATGCTTCAGATTCAAGAGTTGCAGTCTTGGGGGTTCTTGATTCAGGAGAAGTGACAGGACATTTGTGGGTGACTGTACAAGTATTTAATACAGTACTGTATATTGAATTAAGCCTTTTATAGAATGCAGTTTGTTGTATGTTTGCTTATATTTCTCACTTGACTACACTGAGTGCTGATGTGACAATACAATTACACATGACATTAAGACACACCCACCACAACACAGCATGTTATAAGTCAACACTGTCCATCTCCCCAGAGTCGTCAGGTTGCCTCTATTGGCCACGTTGCTTGTGAAGACTGTGGGGAGGAATTTACCGATGCCTCCGCTTTCCGTGCTCACTACCACACCCACACACACCCCTTCCACTGTTCCTGCTGTAATCACCGGTTCCGGACTCGTGTTGGTTATGGTAAGTCATTATGTGTGTTGCTTCTTTTATTGAAACTTATAATTATGACATAATTTTATCTTTTTTGCCACTGATTGGCCTGTTAGTCATTGTTAGCTGCTGAAATGTAGTTAATTTAAGATTGAGATAATTGTGTTAGTTTAGGATTTCTATAGATGTATACAGGTATATTGTTTTTAGATGTCTCATTACCATGTACACCATTACAAAATTTAAAATAGTTGAAAGGTGTCTTTAGCTGAGAAAGTTGAAGCTCTAAGGGCAAAATTTTTAAATAATAGTGATAAATAAATGCAATTGATGAGTTGATAATAGTTATGTGCTGTAATTCATAGCAGTACAGTATTACCAACATTTAGGATATAATAGCCGTGTAATTCATTTATACTTGTTGCTTTCAGAGGTTCACGTTTGTGAGATTGAGCAACATTGTGATCAATGCAGCAGCGTCTTTCGTTCAGTACAGGCACTGAACCGTCACTATGCAGTGCACGGCCCTCCACCACACACCTGTGTATCCTGCAGGAGATCCTTCTTCAGGAAGGTGCGTCTCCTGCATCTCTTAGGTCATATTCATTTACCCTGGTTTCACAAGAACTGGATTCACACCTACACAACATGGTTTACTGTCTGATACTCCAGTCTTTTGTGTATGCTGTACTATACTGTACTGAGTTAAAGTTCACTTGGATGCAGGTGTGCATTGTGCTCTTCATCTCTCCCAGTTGTGTCCTGGGAAGCATGATGCTTTATGTATGAGAAAAGATGAAAATCACTATTCAGATCCATGTGAGTGTAATTCTTTATCCTTGTTTAAACAAATTTGGGAAGTAAAAGGTAAATTTAGCAGAAACGAATCTGCTTTTTGTAAAGACGATCATAACAAGGTCATCCTCTATATACAATGAATGATACATTGTTTTTTGCAGAAGGACAGATTAAACAACTTGAAATCACTGGTTCCTCCATTTAATAAAGAGTCTTCCACAGGAGAGTTTAGACCGACATGTATGCAGTTTTGAGGCAGACATAAAAGACGTCCCAAAGCAGAAAGAAACGAGCAGGTTTACCTGTAATGTGTGCGGTGCAGCGCTGGCCACTAAACACAGCCTCAACACTCACATGCGGTCAGCTCACGGTAAGGTGTATACTAGTTTGCTGTAGGTACTTGACAGGCATGAAGATCTCAACTTGGCAAGGCTTTCACATAGTTGTCATTGTTGGTATCTTTGAGGCAGATCAAATGTACTTTAATAAATCATGCCAGAAGCCTTCGTGTCCCTTTACTTATAAATGGACAGAATAAAATTTGAGACAATAAATTACTGGTTGTCCACCGGCTCTTCTCACCCAGTAAACGAACATTGGTTGGAGAGCCAATAGGGTATCAGGTTCACTGGTCATAACACCTCAAAGCCTCATTGATCATGTTGAGCGACTCAGACATACAAAAGGTCCCAGCTTATTGTCTCCCCATTTATCATAGTTTCATTATTAAGTCACTAAGGAATTCGGGAAAGTACCTGTTTAGCATCACTGTGTTACAGAATAGTGTCATTAGCCATCGTCTGCTGCCACCTTACTACCGTAGTTTGTGTTGTGGAGGACTGCGCAGAGACCCCAAGGAGTGTTCTTGGCTCAGTGTGGTCCTGGTGTTGTGTACTAGGTGTAGGTTTTGTGTATTAAAAGAATGGTTTCAGTGTAAACCCCGAAGAAACAGATCACTCATAAAAAATGTAGTCACTAGACATTTACCCCACCTGTCATGAGGAAGACCCTGGTCCTCCTGTGTCTCTCTTACCTAAGGCTGAGGAGAACTGTGCTAGTTCTCTTGATCACTTACTAATGTACAGTATATGACTTAGTAAAATATTGCTTGTACTTTTTGGAAGAATGAAATGAAAAGGGAAACTAAATTCATACTCTGTTCTTACTTAGCTTCCATAACCTTCGTAAAACAGAACAGTATCTAACCTAACCTAACCTAACCTCTATATAACAGACTATATGGAGAGGAAAGTCCATTATATCGAGGGTCCGTTAAATGTGAAAACCCCATTGAACAGATAATATAGAGAAAGAAATTCGTTTTTTTGGAGGTTTTACTGTACCTTAGCTCTTCCTCTTTATAAATTGATCTCTTAAGTGTAATACCAAATTTTATACATGTGTCTCTTTAATGTTTTAGTTACGACTGCATTATGTCTTCAGGTGGATCAGCTGCTCGAGAACTACATTGTGAGATATGTGGTAAACAGTTTCACCGGAAGGATCTACTTGGTGAGCACCAGGCGGTACACGCTCCTCCGTCCTTCCCTTGTCCCACCTGTAAGAAATTGTTTAAAACACGGAAGTCATTGGAGGTTCACTCGCTCCTTCACCTGGGCATCAAGAGATTCGCCTGCAAATATTGCAATAAAGTTAGTGTGTATATTTTTTATGTTCTAAACATTTGTGTGGAATATCAAATAGTGTAAAAAGACCCTGTTTGTAATTTAGAACGTTGGTAATTTCATCGGTTATGTTAGGTTAAAGCACAATCCTGCCCATACAAAACAACAATAATATCCCATACATAAAGTTTTGATAAGCAATGTAAAGTTATGCAAAAAGTGGAATTTTAGTTACAAATTTTTGTGATGAATATATTGGGTGTCACCTATCCCTAAAGTTTCAGGTGACATTGAAATACCTGGTTTATGTATCTTAGGGAGGCATATCATCTTAGGCAGACTTGACAGTCTCTTCTTCCTCCAGTAGAACCATGTTATATTGAAACTCTTATAGAACTGTTTCATAGAGCATGTTATTTTCTAGGGATGAATCTTGAGTGCAATAAGAGGTATTTGCTTATTACTGTACACTTGTAAATATTCAGGATTTTTATACATTATTTTCTTGCAGAAATTCCATCAAAAGGTGAATCTGTCCCGACATGAACGCAGCCACATGCCCAGAGGAGCTGTGAAGTGCCAATACTGTGGCACTCACTGCCTCTCAACCAATGACCTGAAGGCCCACCTCCTGTCTCACACAGTGTTCCAGTCTGAGGTAAAGCAACAGGACAACCAGGCTGACTTTGATACAGGGAAAGAAGCAACCCACGATGAAGGTCTTTCCACGTACCAGAACGCTGCAGAAACCAGCGATGGATTAGACCAGAAACTTGATCCTGAGTTTAGGCCACATAATGGTGTGGGACCACAGCTGAAAATTACACGGAGAACCAAAGATGGATTACAGACAGAGGAACGGACATTTTCTGGACCAAACAGTGTAATAGAAGTGGAGCAAAGTCTTGGCTCAACATCAAAGAGAGTAAAGTTAACAATGAAAGGAAAAACAGGAATAAAGAATAACGGACAAAAGGTGAGTTCTGGGTTTAGGACAGGATTAGTACATGGTGTTGCACCTGCAATTGTCTCAGATATAAACATGCAGCCGTCTGTGTCAAATTCAGGTATTCACAATCACTCAACAGTTTTCATCCCTCCTAGAATACCAAACTCATGTTTATCTAGTAATGAACAATCGCTGAACAGTAGTTACTTGGTACCCGGTGAACCTGAAACAATACCATCAAATTCCTCGGGTCTTTGTAACTCTGGTGTATTTCCAGAAACAAGTAATTCATTAAATTCAGGGGTATGTAACTTACCTTCAAATGTAATGCTTGAAACTGCTCCCATAGCCAGTGTCAGTGATGCAACTCATTCTTATAACCTAAACAGTGATGAAAATTGCCATGTGTCTATGGGGAGGAACCAGAGTGACCTGGAACAAATGAACAACAGTCAAAACAAGGACTTGACTCTTGGATCATGCCCAGCAATGGTTGAACAAGTATGTCTGTATGAGTCCAATTCTAATAATGTCTCTGTGACAACTGCCACTACACAAGCACTTGACTGCCATGTTCTTAGCAATGAACAGATTGTTGAGAGTGTTGTGTTAATGACTGACCCGCCCCATACGTCTTGTTAAAGTTTGTAATGTCAGATTTTTTTAATATAATCTTGAAAACCTTTTTCCACTACGATGCAGAGTGACCAATTAATATATGAAATATAATTTATATTAAATTATTCACATGTTTATATATACAGAAACCTTATTCTCAAACTTGTTGCCATCAAAGGAACAATTTGTTTTGTCCTTAATATAGGGGAGTTCAGCATATGTGAATTCACTTATATGCGAGGACCCTATTCATACCAGGAATTAAATTAATTCCAACAAAATTCACCCTTAAGCGAGTAAGCTCATATCACTAAGTCTCTTGTTTCATTGGCTCTCTCTGGTGGTGTTCTTTGCTTCCCGCCACATGCTCTCAGTCTCACATTTACCCACATTCTCAGGACGTTTATGCCAAAATGCAATGGAAAGGAAAACAGACCACCTTGCTGCAATTCCTAAGGCCTTCCACCTCCACTCCCATTCCACCTGCCTTCCTAAACCTTCCACCTCCATCCATGACAATCTGCCTAGCCAGGGTCCTCAACGTCTAGTACACTCTCTTTAACTTTTATCCTCTTCACCACTGGTCGGCTCATTAGCTGTTTGGGCAATCAGTCATGTCTGTTCTGCACTGTTGGCAAGTATTGGGCCTGATTTACCTTTCTTCTCGCAAAGTTCTCGGGCCATTGCAAGAAGAAGGTAAATCAGGCAAGTAAATTATTGGGTCTTATAAGAAGGTCGTTCAGATATCTAGACGGTCCGTCCCTCGTAACGATCTTCAAGAGTGAAGTGCTTCCCCATCTGGAGTACTGTCACCCCATCTGGTCCCCGAGATATGCCAGGGACTGTCGGTTGAAAATGTTCAAAGGAGGGCCACCAGACTGGTGCCTGCACTTCGGCAACTCAACTACCCTGGAGATTGGAGTGCCTGAACTTGTCTAGCTTATACTACAGACGGGCAAGGGGGCGACCTAATTAAGGTGTATAAGCATCTCAAGGGCACTACTCAGTCGAGTGTCCTTACTTGGAGCTGGCGGACGTTTACCCCACAAGGAGTCACAGCTCAAGATTGAAGAAGCCGCAGGTCCAGAAAACTGAGGGCAAACTTTTTCGGAGTGAGAGTTGTGACCTCTTGGAATAATCTACCAAAAGTGTTGTGACAGCACCGGGTGTGAGCTCTTTCAAGACCAGACTTGACCAACACTGGAGCAGGTTCAGGTACTTTCAGGAGCCGGTGCATGCCCAGTACGTGCCAACAGAGACGTGACCGATCGCCCAAGCGGCTAACGAGCCTATCAGTGGTGAAGAGGATAAAAAAAAAAAAGATACACTGAACAACCTTCATATCAGACCTAATAATTTAGTTGCTTGATTTACCTTCTTCTTGCAATGGCCCTAGAGCTACAGCTCATGGTACACAAACACACCTAGGGTTTGGAGGAACGCATCTTCCCCTTACACCCTCATCAGATTGGCTCTAAGGTAATTTCAAACATACGAATGGTGGCGTCCACATGTGTACCCCCTGAAATCCGGGCCTCCCTATAGTTCTCATTTTCTCTAAGGATTAAAGTTTGTGGGTAACTGTCTCATACTCCTGGTTGATGATATCTCTATAACATCTACAGGTATATACAGTTCTTATTCATTTGTGAAATTTTATTTTTTTCTCATCGTAGACGAAAAATATTATACAATTTTCAGCGGAATTTCCTGAAAGTTAATAAAATTGGTGTATTTAAATGTGGGTGGTAAGTTATTCAAGATAGGTGATTGGTAAACTATGCAGTAAAGTTGTCATCCAAAATCATAGTCGCTGAAGATAACAAATAATGGTAAATGATATATAGATTCAACCACGTATTAGCTGAAGAGTATCATTAAAATGCTTAGCAAAGTATCCTAATTTTAAAGTGGAATTTTCATTTAAGTTTTTATCAAATATGTTATCCAGTTTCAACAAGTATCAGTATATATTCATTAATTATTATATCGCAGTGAGTGGAGTGGTTATTAGTTAATAAACCTCTGTGTAGGGTTGGACGATATAGAAAACAAAGTCCTTAGGAAAGCATATATTAGATTAGTTAGTCATTAATATATAAACGTTTTCTTTGATAAACAATTTTGGATATTTATAAAATATTTGTTTTCTTAATATATCTAATATATTGCCAAAATATTCATACTACTTAATTAAAATAAAATAAAATTCACTAAAAATATAAGACAGATTGAATTTAAATGAACAATATATCGAAATTTCTATAAAAACACACTTGGTATCTGAAAAGGATTTGTATATTATTTAAGAGGGTAAGTTTCCTTTGTAGTTTGTGTTAAGTCCTTATCTGGGGGAGCTGCAGGGTCAGTGATCGTAATGTGAGCCCCTGTCGTGCTACGCCCAATATAAATTGCTCGCAACCCGGTAACTTATGCCGAGTTGTAATTTTTGTAGCCTCTTTACTTTACAAGAGGCATTGGCGCCATACCCACAGGACGTAGTTTATAACAAAGGATAAATAAAATAAAGTCTAATTGTCATCCACTGGTCAGTATACAGAGGGTGACGTGAATGTAATTATTGATTTTTATAATTAATTTCCCTGATTAAAATTAGTATATTTGGGGTCAAAATTAATATATAGCAGTATAGGTCTTTCTTGATGCGCAGATTAAGGATATGTGGCCAGAAAGGCGATATTCTGATAATTAAGTCTCCCGTTATGGCCCAAATCCCATCATGGCCATAGTCTCTATGACGTGTCCCAGTATGGTCACTAAGCCCTAATGGCCAGTGTTCCATTATGGCCACTATCTCCTCATGGCCAGAATCCCCCAAGATTCGTGTCCCAATATGACCAGTGTCTAATTATAACCAGTGTCCTATCATGGCTAATATCCCATTATATCCAGTGTCCCCTTATGGCCAGTGTCCCATAATGGCCATAATCTCAGCATGGCCAGTATGGACCCTCCTGGCCTCCCGACACCCACACTGGTTCTGACGTTAACCCGAGTTGTGTGTCGAGTTTGTTTGGTAACGTGAGAGAAAACGTGAGTGTTCGTGGCTAATGTTGACGCGAAGTGACGGTGTACTGATGGCCGGGGCTGGTGGTGTTACTCCTTGCTACAACCACCACTACCACAACATCCACTACCACAACATCCACTACCATAACACCCACTACCACCACATCCACTACCACAACATCCACCACATCCACTACCACCACACCCACTACCACAACACCCACTACCACCACATCCACTACCACAACATCCACTACCACAACATCCACCACATCCACTACCACAACATCCACCACATCCACTACCACCACACCCACTACCACTACCATAACATCCACTACTACAACATCCACTCACCACCACTACCTCCACTACCACCACACCCACTACCACCACCATAACATCCACTTACTACAACATCCACCACTACCACAACATCCACTACCACCACACCCACTACCACAACAACCACTACCACAACAACCACTACCACAGCAACCACTACCACAACAACCACTACCACAACAACCACTACCACAACAACCACTACCACAACAACAACTACCACCACCCCTACCACTACCATAACATCCACTACTACAACGTCCACGCCACCACTACCACAACATCACTACCCTACCACACATCACTACCACAACATCCTACCACCACCCACTACCACAACAACCACTACCACAACAACCACTACCACAGCAACCACTACCACAGCAACCACTACCACAGCAACCACTACCACAACAACCACTACCACAACAACCACTACCACAACAACAACTACCTAAACCACTATTAACATTACTACCACTACCACTATTAACATCAACACCACCACTACATACCTCTGCCACCACCACCACTACTACCACTACTATCACCACTACCACCATAACCACTACGTGTTAAAACTGCTCCTGGGAATAAAAGTCACTCAGCTGCTAGTAACAAGATTTAAAACCTCGTGTCACCGTCGCTCCTGGAAAAAACAAACAAGCAATAATCACACCCAACCAACCTAAACCACGCCCAACCTAAACCACGCCCAACCTACTAAACCACGACCAACCTACTAAGCCACAACCTACCTAAACCACACCCAACCAACCTAAACCACACCCAACCTACCTAAACCACAACCAACTAAGCCACACACAACCTAAGCCACCCAACCAACCTAAACCACCCAACCAACTAAGCCACGCCTACCTAAACCACACCCAACAACCTAAACCACCCAACCAACCTAAACCACCCCAACCAACCTAACCACACCCAACCAACCTAAACCACCCAACCTACAAACCACATCAACCAACCTAAACCACACCCAACCAACCTAAACCACCCAACCAACCTAAATCCAACCTACCTAAACCCACACCCAACCTACCCAAACCACACCCAACCAACTAAACCACCCCAACCAACCTAAACCACACCCAACCAACCTAAACCACACCCAACCAACCTAAACCACACCCAACCTACTAAACCACACAACACCTAAACCACACCCAACTTCCTAAACCACACAACCTAAACACCCCCTACCTAAACCACACCCAACCAACCTAAACCACCCAACCTACCTAAACACCCAACCTACCTAAACCACACCCAACCAACTTAAACCACACCCAACCTACCTAAACCACCCAACCTACCCAAACCCATCAACCAACTAAACCACAACCAACCTAAGCCACAACCCTAAACCACAGCCTACACAAACCACACAACCTACTAAACCATCAACCAACTAAACCACACCTAGCCTAAACCACATCCAACCAACCTAAACCACACAACCTACCTAAACCACACCCAACCAACACAAACCACACCCAACCTACCTAAACCACATCCAACCAACCTAAACCACACCCAACCTACCTAAACCACACCCAACTACCTAAACCACACCCAACCTACCTAAACCACCAACCTACACCTAAACCACACCCAACTAAACCACACCCAACCTAAACCACACCCAACCAACCTAAACCACACCCAACCTACCTAACACACCCAACCTCTAAACCACACCACCTACTAAACCACCCAACCTCATACAC